TTTATATAAGTACATTTACAAAGGGCATGACTGTGCCAATGTGGTGATAAATGAGCAAGTTAACCATGATGAAATAAACACGTTTTTAAATTGTCGCTATGTCTCAGCTCCAGAAGCATTGTGGCGAATATTTGAGTATTCTTTAAGTGATATGTCACATAACATCATCCGACTTCAGGTTCATCTGCCAGATAATCAGATGATATATTTTGTAGAAGGCGAAGAACAGGCAGCTTTAGACCGTGCAGCACAGCGTGACACTCACCTAACTGCATGGTTTAAATTAAATGTTGAAAATAAACAAGCCCGACACTATCCATATGTTGAAATTCCTTACCACTTTGTTTTTGATAGCAAACATTGTAAATGGAAAGTTAGGCAAAGAGGTAGCAATAAGGTGATTGTTAGGATGTATAAAGTGAGTCCAATAGGTGAAATATTTTATCTTAGAATGTTACTTTTGCATGTTAGAGGTGCAGTTTCTTTTGAAGATTTGCGTACTGTTAATGGTACAGTTTTTAATACATTCCGAGAAGCATGTTCTCAATTAGGTCTGTTACAAGACGACGCTGAATGGAGAAATACATTAACTGAGGCTGCTGCAACTCGGTTGCCAAATCAAATTAGACAGTTGTTTTCCATTATTTTGACTTTCTGTGAACCTGATGATCCATTAAATCTTTGGAATGCCTTTAAAGATTTTATGATGGAGGATTACATTCACCATTCCATGCCACCAATAACTGCTGAGCAGGCAGCTTTGCGTCAAATTGAATCTATAATTAATCAGAATGGTAAGACTTTAGCTGATTTTAATCTTCCTACTTTAGATGAGTTTTTAGATTATGTCCCACAAAATGAAGAGGAAGATGTTCAGGTTTTAATTGATGAAGCAAATAGGGTTAGACCATTGTTAAATGATAATCAGCGTCAAATTGCTGATGCTATCCTTTCTGCTCTTAGTGAGCAACCTAACAATGAAAACAAGCAGTCTAGATTGTTTTTTATGGATGGCCTTGCAGGTTGTGGTAAAACATTTACATACAATTATTTAATCGCTGAAACCAGCAGTAGACATATTATAACTGCAACAGCTGCATGGACAGGAATAGCTGCAACTCTTTTAAAAAAAGGATGTACGCTTCATGATTTGTTCAAACTTCCTGTGCCGATTTTGGAAAATAGCACATGCAATGTAACTCCAAATTCTATACACGGAAAATTCTTAAGACAAGTTAGCCTTTATTTACTAGATGAGGCATCCATGATACCTAAACATGCTTTAAATGCCATTGATAAGTTACTTCAAGACGTTTGCAATAACAAGTTTCCTTTCGGTGGTAAAGTTATTCTTATGGGTGGGGATTTTAGGCAAATACTTCCGGTTGTAAAGAGAGGGCAACCAGCTGATATTGTTGAAGCCTGTATAAAATGTTCTCAACATTGGCAATATGTACAGCGATTTTCATTAACAGAAAATATGAGGGTTCAGGCCGAAGAAGAGGAATTCTCTCAATGGCTTTTAAAACTTGGTAGTGGAACATTACCTTTAAAAGCAGATGGTTCCTTTCGCGGGTGCATTGAGATTCCTGAGCAATGCTTGCTTGGAGAAAATGAATCTTTAGTAGACAAGATTTTTGGAGTTGCAGAAGAAGATGATTATGCTAAACGTGCCATTTTGACACCCAATAATGTTGATTCTTTAGCAATAAATGAAGAAGTTTTGGACCGTTTACCAGGTGACGTTAAGGTTTATTTAAGTGCTGATACTATTGAAACAGATGATCTTAACGAAATCAATAATTTTCCTGTTGAGTTTTTAAACAGTCTTACTCCATCAGGAATGCCTGTTCATTGCCTAAAGCTAAAAATTGGTGCTGTTATAATGTTACTTCGAAATTTAGATCTAAAAGCTGGACTTTGCAATGGTATCCGATTGATATTGCGTGCTCTACAAAATAATTACATTGATGGGCAAGTTCTAACAGGTGTTTCAGTTGGCAAGAGGGTATTTGTCCCTCGGGTTTAGTTAACACAATCTGATTCAAATTTAACTTTTACTCTTAAGCGTCGTCAATTTCCTGTAAGATTAGCATACTCAATGACCATAAATAAAAGTCAAGGTCAAACTTTTGACAAAATTGGTATTTATCTCAAAAACCCTTGCTTTTCACATGGTCAACTCTATGTTGCATGTTCAAGAACAAGATCGTTTTATACCTTATTTTTTAAAATTGATGAACATTCATTACAAGGTATGTCATTTAATAAATGCTACACAAACAATGTTGTATTTACCAATGTACTAAATCTATAAATAATTAATTTTTTACAATTAAACTCCTCATTTCTTATAAATATTTTAACTGTAATTTAAAGTATTTTTGTGTGTTGCTTGATGCAGTAATGTGTGATATTTATTATGTGGTTAAATATGTGTTAAGGTTATATTTTGTAAGTGTTTATGTGTAACTAATGTGTAAATGACTGTTATATGTGAAGTGTATTTTTTATGTTATCTGTTTATAGTTTGTGAGTTATTATTATGTTGTTTTCATGGTTTCAAAATGGTGTGACTTGGCTTTGTTTATGGCAAGAGTGTTGTCCTTGCTAGCCAAGCGGTGTACTTTGAATAATGTGACTTGGCTTTGTTTATGGCAAGAGTGTTGTTTATGGCAAGAGTTATTTTCTAATAAGCTACTTGCTTGATCCTTTGGTGGTTTAAGTTATTGAGTCTTTACTGTAAGATTTTGTGCTATTTGTTATTGATGTTTGTGATGTTACTGTTGTGATGTTTTGTGTTAATAGACGACTTGGCTTACCTTCACGTCAGTGTCTATCGTTAAAAATGATTATAGGGTTGTTTCATACTGAAACTGACTATATATAATCATTCACTAAAAGCCAAGCATTCAATTTTTATATTAAACTGTAAGGGTTTATCTTTTTTTGATTATTTTTAGTGTGCTTTTTTTTGAAAAGAGTTTATAATCGAAACTTGCAACAAAAAATCTTGAAACCTTTACACAAAACCTATTCACACAAAAAAAACAATCTCAAAGTAAGTTTCTTATTTGATATCGCCTTGGTCACACTTTTGAGTTTTTAAATAAAAGAGTACATTAATGTGTTATGTTTTCAATAATTTTGTTTTATTTTAGTTCGAATGCCATCTCTTAATGTTGATCGTTTTTTAACATCCAAAGGGAAGTTTTGTTAATCTTTATACCATTTACTAAAAGATATATTATAGGGAAACAATTCAAATTGATTTTATAAAGTACTTCTGATACTTTTTATGTTATATATAATAGATATTGTAAAATTTAAAAAAAAAAAAAATTATTTTTTTAATTTTATCTTAAGAAAAATGTTTTTTGTTTCTCACACAAATTTGTAAATTTTTTCTCTTTGGAGTTATAGTATTTGATGGATACATTGCTCATTTTGCTTTTTTTATATATATCTCCGTTATATATGAATGGAAACCGTTAATACTTTTATTACCATGGTAATTACAGATCTAGATAGTTCCATTCCCATTAAGTATTTTACAAATTTTCGGTACAAATAATAGCTATAGTAGTTTAATAATTTGCTAATTTAAAAACATTTAGAAAAATTTGTTGAGAGATTATTGTAGAAAATTTGCTTTTCAAACAAATAGAGCTAATTTTTGACATAATTAGGATTCGTCACCTGATTCTTTGTCAAATACTTCTCCTTTTTAAATAGGAAAGGTTAAATTTTATAAAAAAGTTTGCCAAAACACCGAGAGAAATGTCACGTAATTGGTAACTATGTTAAATACACTTTTGTTAGGTCCACGTAATTTTCGAATCTGCTCATCACTACGTTAGATGGCGTTATTTCTTTAAAATACCTTAAAAATCTTCAATTCAAAGTTTTTGTTTCGAATCATCAAAATATTGGCATATGATATAAATATACGATTCTAATAAACCAAAAGTATGTGGAAAAATTGCGCATACTTAGGCATCATAAAAACTTAATTCACACCAACCATTTACTTCGATATTTTTTAGTGTATGGCAGAAAAATAAATTACGAATTGTCTTAGATAAATAAAGTTACCGGACCTTTATTACTTAATCCATAAACAATTATTGTTTCATTCGATTTAACACCACAATAAAAAACAAAGCTTTTTCTATTTATTTTCGAAAAACGTTTTACTGGAAACCGAGTTCTTTTGTAGCATTTTAGTTAGAGTTATAGAAAAATCTATAAATCTTATTTTGTTAAGTAAAAAAAAAAATCTTATGCTCTTCTAATTTTAGTCACCAATAACAACTATGTTAGGAATAGTAGAAAATGTTATGTGTGGTAGAGAAACTGTTTTAGTGTGGTGTTGTAGGAGTACTGCGGGTCTAAGAAATTTTGTTTTCATCGATAAATTATTCTATTAGTCTATTAAAACAGTATGAAAACTTTCCAGTATTTATATTTGATTTCTTTTTTTCATTTTATTTTATAATTGTAATTTAAGTTTCAAAAAGCAGCAAAAACAACTTGAAAAGAACTATCGCACAATGACTCGCTTATACACAGGATTCCAATTTCCTGATATACATGGAAATGCTGATATTGCTTTCACTATATTGTCTTTTTGTAATGTGTAACATCATTTTTACTTAGGTTTGCCAAATGACCGGCTTTTACAAAGTAGAATATAGTCCCAAACATATACAGTTCAGTTCTTTTACTGCTTTCTTCTTCATAAAAGCCGGACGTCTTGCAACCCTTGAATTTCCCCTTCTTTTTGTTTGCATAAATTACATAATTCTCTTAATTATAAATACTCCAAATCCGATTTTCGAACAGCTTATTTTAAAATCTAAAGAAATATAAGCGATTAAAGATTACATTTTGCAAGCCAACTAGATGCTTAAACAACTCAAAAGACAGCCACGCGCTCATTATAACTCTCTTATAGTTTTAGAATCTGAGTGAGTTACTGTTTTGAATATCTCAAATCTTCAAATTAAGTTTTTATGATTTTAAGTTAAATTAGACTTAAGAATATGTGTAAGAATTGAGAATAAATATTTACTTTTTATTTTAGAAATGAACACACAAGAAAATTTAAACGGTATGTATTTATTGCATATGTGTGTTAGTGCTGTATGCGCTTATATTAGATATTATATCTATATATCTATATATATCTAATATATGCGTATATAGCACAAACGCTATACTTTATTTAGTACGCATATATAAATATATAAATATAAATAAACAAACAATTTACACTCTTATAAACAGTGTTGGGTTAACTGATAGACAAAATAAGCACTGCTATCATATTTTATTTATTGGAAATAAATAAAAATATCAAGTAATTCTCTTTTTAGACGATGATGGTGACTTTTTTAGAAGTAAGTAAACTATAATTTCTTTAGAAGTAAACAATTTTTATTTATATAAAGTGATAGTTATAAAAAATTTATTTCAAGTATGGAGAAATCAGTAGCATATTTTTTATCAAATATTTGTATACTAATAGTAATTTGATTGTTGGTAATAGTTATATAGTTATATACACGCAGCTATTTAATAGTGAAATTTCATTATTATATGAAAAATTCAAATCTTGAAATAAGAAAAAAATCTTTATGTGTTTTTCAACTAGAAAATTGGAATTTATTTTCTAGACCAGATGTTGTGATTATTATATTTTCTAGACTAGATGTAGTGCTTTATCATATGATATGCTAAATATATATATTGTATTGTGTGTATATCTTAGATGCGCAGGAGATAATGGCAGAAGAGACAGAGTCTCTTCTGCCTTATTTTAAAGAATTCTTCAATAATCAAAGTTAGCATTTTCTATTTTTTCTTTTTTACTTCAGTTTTTTCGAAGTTTATGTTACAGTAAATAAATTTATGAACTAATCTTTCATACATTTTGTTTATTTAGAAAATTTAGAAAGTAGAGTTAGTAAGCAAAATTTCATTATATTACTTTTATGTATATTAAATAAAAAATAATGAAGTTGGCTTTAGTAATTTGTTCATCTATTTAGAAAAATTAGAAGATTTACAAAAGTCCATAGGGAAGTAAAATTGCTTTTATGTTTATTATACACCCTAATTATTTATGTACATCTAATATTAAATGCGTTTTTTCAATTTGAGATTAGTTTTGGACTTTGTACTTTTTGGTCAATTTTTTTAGATATCATTTTAAACTACATTTGTAAGTAACTATATTAAGTTTTATGTCTCATAAAAGTTTTAATAAATAATGTAATGTAATCACTTATATAGTGACAAATCCAACTTCCTCAGTAACGTATGTTGTTGTACTCACTTAGACTTGACTTATTACATTGATTGATTGTTTTTATTGCATTTTTAATTTTCTTTTATTTATCTCTAGCTGCTGCTTCTTCTGCTACAAGTAAGTTGTTCTATTCACTTATACTTGACTTAATTTATGGATTAATTGGTTTTATTGCATTTTTAACTTTCTTTTATTTATCTCTAGCTGCTGCTTCTTCTGCTACAAGTAAGTTGTTCTATTCACTTATACTTACCTTAATTTATTGATTAATTGGTTTTATTGCATTTTTAACTTTCTTTTATTTATCTCTAGCTGCTGCTTCTTCTGTTACAAGTAAGTTGTTCTATTCACTTATACTTGACTTAATTTATGGATTAATTGGTTTTATTGCATTTTTAACTTTCTTTTATTTATCTCTAGCTGCTGCTTCTTCTGCTACAAGTAAGTTGTTCTATTCACTTATACTTACCTTAATTTATTGATTAATTGGTTTTATTGCATTTTTAACTTTCTTTTATTTATCTCTAGCTGCTGCTTCTTCTGTTACAAGTAAGTTGTTCTATTCACTTATACTTGACTTAATTTATGGATTAATTGGTTTTATTGCATTTTTAACTTTCTTTTATTTATCTCTAGCTGCTGCTTCTTCTGCTACAAGTAAGTTGTTCTATTCACTTATACTTACCTTAATTTATTGATTAATTGGTTTTATTGCACTTTTAACTTTCTTTTATTTATCTCTAGCTGCTGCTTCTTCTGTTACAAGTAAGTTGTTATATTCACCTTTACTTGACTTATTACATTGATTGATTGCTTTTATTGTACCTTTTGTTTTTTAATATAGCTACAAATGTGCTTTCCAGTTTATTTAGTTAATGTAATAAGTCAAGTATTAGTGAGTAAAATAAATAAGTTGTTGTCTCACTTGTACTTAATTTATTACATTATTTGCTTTTATTGTTTTTTTACAGTAGTTTTTTTGTAAGTATTACCTAGGTAGATAGTTGTATTTATATATAATTTTTTTTTCAGGCTCGAAGTCATGGGAAGATTTCCGAAAGTATCGCTCCCAGCATCCAGGCCCTCTATCTATGAGGGCCTTCCATCGCTGGTGTTTGTATGGGGACGACCATCCCTCCTTTAGATGGAGGGATGGCACCCCATACAACACGGGGAATAGAGCGGATGCTGGGAGGAGAAGACAACGTGGCTCAAAAGTTGTCAATAATTTTTTTACATTTTAAAATGTAAAGAAATTGACAACTTTTGAGCCACTTCATTTTTTTTTTGTAATTTTTTTTTTGTAATATATTTTTGTAAATTTAATTTTGTGTTGTTTTTTAATTTTTCCCATGAATGTTAAATGTTATCAAAGTAAATCATTTAAATAAAGACACCTTTATCAACAATGCTCATTAACTAGGAATAAAAGTCACGGTCATACATTTGATAAAGTTAATGTTAATCTCAAAGGGATTTGGTTTTCACACAATCAAATTCTATGTAGCACCTTCCAGAACTAAGAATATAAGTGTGTGGTGTTAGTAGTTTAAAATATGTATAATAAACTCAGAATAACTCAATAACCCTCAACAAAACTATGAACTAATTTTGAAATTCAAGTTGAGCTTTTTTATTAATTAATACCTCCCCTCCCAATAACTCTAATTTTCCTTAAAAAACTAATTTTTTTGTCCTTTGAAGGTGGTTCTGCTATTTAATTAATTGTTGTGATGTTTTATGCAAATAGATTTAGCTCACATTCATGTTGGTCTGTCAGAGTTATGTAAAAATAAAAAAGTAAGTTTCTTATTTGCATTTTTGAGTTTTCAAAAGTATTGATTGCATGACATGTTAATTTGTAATTAATGTGTATGATTATGCGTTTAAATAACTTTGTTCCATTTTTAGTTCCGTTTCTTATAGCTGACTTGATTATGGCTTACCTAAAGCTTAATATTTATGAAACAATGATTCAATTTAAATTGTATTATAAGTAGCTCTGTTGAATAAAATTTTTTTTTGTAATTTGTACTAAAGGTTATATTTTTATTTTATATCAAGAAAAATATGTTTTTAAGTACATATCTATATTTTTTTATTTTGGGATTTATTGTTTTAAATGGATATAAAAATCATTTTTGCTTTGTCTTTTATATTTCCTTTTATTATATATGAATAGGAACCATTTATGCTTTAATCACCATTAGCACTCGAAGTTTCCATTTGCATTAAGTATCGATTTTTGGCACACACAACAGGTTTAATAACTTAGGCAGTAAAAACAGCTTGAATGATTTGTTAAGAGTCTTTAAAGAAACGCTTTTACGAAAAGCATTAAATAGATAAAGCTAACTTATTTAAAATAATCAGTCTTTAACCCGTTTTTCTATATCCAAATTTACTTTTTAAATAAATGTTGATGAAAGGGTAAAATATCGTTATAGCCTACGTTAATTTTAAATTCTTTTTAAATTAAAGGAAAGAGTTTTGATACTTATTTAAATAGGGTTAATAAAATATTTTAAATTATATTATATATATTATATTTAAGAAATTATTAAACTAAATTAAATAAGATTTTTAGATGAAACAGTAAAAATAATTGTTTAAAATACGTGCGTGCAAATAATTCCTACAAATACTAAACGTAAAATAACGCTTACAAACACCAAAAGTATGTTTGCAGTGAATAAAGTTAAGTTCAAAGATAAATAGGAAGAAATGTTTAAAACTGTTTCAATAATAACATTTATTTTTAATTACTTTTGTTGTAAGTTGGGATGAAAAAAAAAGGTCACTGGAGTATGAACTCCCGGGGTGAGATGACTATATCTGTCTAAGTGTTGCGCGTCTACCAATTAGCCCATAAACGTATTTTCTATTTAGAATTTAAGATTATTTATGACGCATAAGAAGTGTAATTAAAAATTCAAAACCAAGTTTGCAACAACTGAATTTAAATAAAATCTAATTAGATGTGTATATGTTATGAACGTTAACTAAGGCGTACTTTAACGGCGTCACGTGTTGAATGTTTTAGCATTTTTCTAAGTTCGTAGTCTTTTTTTACGTTTTTTCTTATTAAAATTTTTATAATCGGCATAATATTAAAATCGTTTGAAGTTTTTAAAAGAACATTTTAACAGAAATGTTTTTGTCATATCAAAAAGTAAGTATAGTTTTTTATATGTACATTTTTAAACGGTTTAATTCCTAACCTCAATATTTTTTAATTTAAAAAAATATTGAGGTTAGGAATAAGTATAGAAAAGGTCGGTGTGGAATAGATTTACTAAGACCCTTAGTTTACGTCCGGATAGCTATAGATAAGTATAAAAATGGTCGGTTCGGTAAAGACCCGTATTTTACGGGTCCCTCCAGCTAGTTTTTTATAATTTCTCAGAATATTATGGGTGAATCCTGGGCAACACAAGATACCCCCTAGATCCACCCCTGAGCCTACCAAATGTTGGTAGCGGAAAAATAAAAGTTATCGTACCGAAAGTTTTTTTTATGGTTAAAAATATCACATGTCAAAAAAATTCTTATTTTTTTATACCGTAAAATGAAGAAAATTTAACTTAGAATTAAAAAAAAAAAACGAAAAAATTGTGAAAAATGAAATAGGATTTTCCATTAAATAAGTAGACTGCCAGCCCATACCAAATCCCTCAGTCAATGCATGTACACTCAACTGCGCCTATCCCTAAATTAGTAAATGTATGTACATTTTACTGCGCCAATTTCTAAGCTAGTAGATGTATGTACACTGCGCCTTTTCCTAAATTTGTTAATGCATGTAGATTCCTCGGTGCCTATTCTTAAATCAGTCAGTGTATGAACACTCTATTGCGTCTATAAATGCATAAACACTCATTGTGCATATCCCTAAATAATTTAGTCAAAAAATAAGCATATTAGAATAAAAAATATAAAACATAGAAAACAACATCTGAAAAAGATTAAGAGAGATTCGAACCCGGAAAGCCTGGTCAAGGTACAACAACACTATACATTATGCTACATTAACATACAGACTATCTATTTAAAAATAAATATTTTTAGCTATTTATTGTGACATGTGATCTTTTCAAACTGATAAAAAAAAAAATTCGGTAGGATAATTTTTATTTTTCCGCCACCGACTTTCGGTAGGCTTTCCACTGCGTAATAATAAAGGCTTGAAAACACCTCGACCCATAGCAGAAACAGTTTGACACTAAACACTGCTGTGTAACCCTTTGCAGTAAGTACATGACTTGGCTGGCAAGGTTGTCAAATCTTGCTTTTCACATTTACCAAGTCACAGCACTTGGTTAACGTGTAAATTATGTGTAAATAAAATAATATTTATATTATGTTATTTCCACAAAAATGGAAATAACATAATATAAATATATAAACCAACTATAAACACAATATATATATATATATATATATATATATATATATATATATATATATATATATATATATATATATATATATATATATATATATATATATATATATATATATATATATATATATATATATATATATATATATATATATATATATATATATATTTATATATATATATATATATATATATATATATATATATATATATATATATTTTTCTATATACACATATTTAAACACATTTATAAAACAA